CGGGTCAAAATGAGCCAAAGTGCCCCCCCCCAAAAAAAGAGAAGAAGCTGGAGAAATCTCCCAGCAGGAGAAAAGAACCGGCCCTGAAAGGGGAGGATCCTTCTCAGCATTTCAACCCTGTGGAAGGAGGAGATGAGACCCCCAGCTCTTCAGATGAAAGTGACTCTGATGATGCACAACGCTGGGTAAGTTCCCACTCGGGGCCCATGACTATCCCAGTTGAGCTTAGAATACCCACTTCTGGCGCATGGGAAAAAATTCTAGCTCTCTTAGATTCCGGCTGTACACGCTGCATTATGAGCCTGGAAATAGTAGAAAAATTGGGATGGAAGCTAAAAACTTTGAAAATCCCAATTGCATTTTGCCAATTGGATAGATTTATTGAGGGGGGGGAGCCCTGCTCATTTTGTCACTGAACCTATTGAGATGTGGATGGGAACCCACCACATAGACAGTAAGTTTTATTGTAGTCCCCAGGAATGGACCGACCCCTTATATTGGGATTGCCCTGGCTGCGTAAGTGGAACCCACACATAAATTGGAGGAAAGGGTGGTTACGCATCCGGTCTGCTATGCCCCCTGAAAGGGAAGAAGGGGTTCCAAAACTGAATAAGTCAGACCCCAACCTAGCAGCCAGAGGGCAGGAAGGCCAACTGTCCGGCATACCAACCTGATGATGATTTTTGAAGTTGTCTCCCACCTGAAAGCTGTCGAGATATATGATTGGACTATGGACTGGGGTACCAAGGAGAGGGGAATGAATCATGTACTGATATCTAATTCTTTCGCGCCTTTTGCTCAGATCCAGCTTTGCTTAGCTTCTAATTACTTATAATCAGTAAAAGTACTCTTAATTCTGCAAAATGGAGTTGAGTAGTTTCTTTCTTGGTTATAAAGTGAAGAAGCTGTGACATTCTTCTTTAAAACTTCCATTATTGGTGCATTCACAACTTCTGGAGGCAAATCCACTGATTAATTGTTCTAACTGTCAGGAAATTTCTTCTTAGTTCTAGGTTGCTTCTCTCCTTGATTAGTTTCCATCCATTGCTTCATGTCCTGCCCTCGGGTGCTTTGGAGAATAGCTTGACTTCCTCTTCTTTGTAGCAACCCCTGAGATATTGGAACACTGCTATCATGTCATCCCATGTCCTTCTTTTCATTATACTAGACACACCCAGTTCTGACATCCGTTCTTCATGTTTTAGCCTTCAATCCCCTAATCCTCTTTGTTGCCACATCATGGTGACCAAAACTGGATGCAGTATCCCAAGTGTGGCCTTACCAAGGCATTATAAAGTGGTATTAATACTTCACGTGATCTTGATTCTATTCCCGTTTATGCAGCCTAGAACTGTGTTGGCTTTTTTGGCAGCTGCAGCACACTGCTGGCTCATATTTAAATGATTGTCCACTAAACTCCAAGATCTCTCTCACAGTTACTACTATTGAGCGAGGTACCACAAATACTGTACCTGTGCATTTTGCTTTTCTTGCCTAAATGTAGAACCTTACTTTTTTCACCATTGAATTTCATTTTGTTAGATAGTGCCCAATGTTCAAGTCTTTCGAGGCACTGAGTTATCATCTCATCAAACCATCTTGAACATAAAACACAATTAAATAAACAATTTCCTTCATGAAGAAATCAAAATCTTCCAAAGAATTTATAGGATTTTCCAAAGAATCAATGACCAACAGCACCATAAGAAATTTCTGGAATACTGAATGCATGTTTTCCTGTAACATTCGATTTAATGAATTAATAGTGGGAAAAAAGAAGTCAGAAGGCATCAGCTTAAGTCATGTGACAATAAAAACTCACCTAGCTTGCTGACACATGTTGCAGAGCCACGCATTCTCTTTCTTCTGATAAGAGCTGCAGTTCTTGCAGATATTGTATTTGCAGTCTTGGCACTGTCGTTTAGTATTGATGAGAAAAGTAAATGGGGAGCAGCAACGCATGCAACAATGCTCATTAAATCTCTCATGCTTGGAAAGGATGCTGCACTTGTTACCCTCTTCATCAAGCTTCTGTTTAATTTCACTGGAATCCCCAAAGAAAGGAAGGAAATGAAAACATAATTAAAATAACACTGTATTTAAAGGGAAGTGTCACTCTATTGCTTGGACATACTTTAACAAAGTAAAATGACTTTCTCTCCACTAGCTTTTCCCAGAATAAGCTTATGCCTACTTCTCACCTCTTCAATACTAGAAATTTCTTAAATTTCTATTTCAAATTACTTATGAAAAATATAAAAAATACCAAACCATATTTTCTCCTTTTTGTTCTCCTCCTTTCCTTATACTTCTTTCCTTATACTCCAAATTCTTGATAGCATGCCATAGCCCATCTGTGGAGCAACTATGAGAGAAATTTGTTGGAATGGAGATGCGGGGAGCAGAGTCAATGAATCCATCAGTCCTGGGAGCATGGCATGGTGTGTGTCAAGCATTGATAAACCCCTCCCCTTCTCCACTCCAAAGAGTAAGACTGGGGAGTATTGTCCAAGGAGCTGGGGCTCTCCCAGCAGGGGCTGCCATTCCCCTCATGGCTGCAGGGCAAGCCCAGGGAATTCTTGCAGCAGCAGGAGCCCAGACTCAAGCAGCACCCCAGGGGGAAGGGCTGCCACCAGGCTATGTGCTAGTTGGGATGATCGGGAGTCCCCACCTCTAAAAGCCATGTTTAATGGACAGCCAGAGAAACTGGCCTACTTCCTGAACCAGGCAGGGAATCATCTGGAGTAGTAAGAGGCTATGTATCCGCCCAAAGCTGCCCGTGTGAATGCCATCACTTTGAACCCAGAGGATGAGATGGCAAAGTGGGTGATGTACCTCCATGATAAAGAAGCACCTGAGCTGGAGAATGCTGGATGAAATTTGAGCCAGGTTTGGAGACGCTATCTGGGTCCGCCAAGAAGAATCTGGGAGTATGCCATAAGGCAAGGAAGCCAACGAATACATTCGGGAGTTCCGCAGCCTGGCTGGGCTGGAATGCTTATTGGTCTACCATTTCCAAGATGGACTAAATAAGGAGCTATAGAAAAACGGCCTGCCGCAAATTCCAGACAACCGCATGGTATGGTACCAGCTGATGATCACAGTGGAGCTAGACCTGCATTATGTAGCACACGAAGGTCTTCCCCTCTAGCAAGAGGGGGGAACTCCAACCCACAGCAACTCCAACCTGGTCTTCTACAAGAGCAATGGTGAGGGGAAGGATGATCTAATGGTAAGTGGAACTATTGCCCCTTTGACTGCCTGGGTGGAGATGCTAGTGCCCCACTCAGGGGCAAAAGGATCTTTATGGCTCTGGTAGACTCAGGTTGCACCTGCTGTTTGACTAGCCTGCAAAAGGTGGAAAAGATGGAACTGAGACTTAAAAAATTGAAGTGAAATTTCCCTCAGTCTGGAGGGTGATATTGTGGTCCACTGGCGGCCAGCAGAGCTTGCAGCAGAGTTGGACAACGAGGAGATTGGTGCAGAACATGGGCCAGTCCTGGAGTGTGGGGAAGGTTCAGATGAGGGCTCGGCGTTGAACGCAGAGAGGGGGCCAGGGCCATATAGGAGTTATGTGCTGCCTCCGGAGTCTCCAGAGTTGGACAGCAGCGAGGCAGAGGAACAGGCTCCCCCTGTTCCCAGTGTGCGCATGAGCAGAGCTGCCAGAAGGCAAGAACAGTTAAAATAGAAGGGACGACTCAGGAGTAAGGTTTGCTTTAACTTTAACTTTTAATAGATTTATATGCCGCCCAATCCTGTAGGACTCCGGAAGGTTTGGAAGTGATTGGCCTCTCCCATAGGACATTTGAACTCTTTGCTCCATGTGGCCTTGCCAAGCTAATTGCTAATTAAATCTTTGGCAGTGTTTTCAAAGAAGATTAAGGTGGGTGCTTATCAGTCTTATTCTGAAGGACTTTGGTAACCTCCTGTAGAACTCTTTCCAACTATTTGCAACTCATACCAGCTGTGAATGAATATAATTCACAGCCTTTGAAATAAAAAGAGGGTTTTTTGGACCTAATTGTGAATTTTTTATTGTATCAGAAAGCCTAGGTCAGAACAGTTGGCCAAAATGTTTGTGCAGGATATCTACTAGCTGCATGGAGCCTCAAGGCACATCTTTTCAAACCAAGAGGGTGCAGTTTACAGTTCCTAATGCAAATAGGATCGGCTCAGGGACTTAGTTTGGGGTACCATCCATGCACCAATGGGATGGAAGAAAAAACTAATGCAATGGTAGAGCAAGACCTACATTGCTATGTAAACTATCAGCAAACCAACTTGCCAATGAACTGTGGGGAGGGAAATGGAATGTGGAGCATGTATGCAGAGATTGTGAGAGATGGAGCCAGCAAGGTCACCACTGCAGTTGCTTGAGAAAGAGATGGACCATTCGCATAACAAAAGACCATCTCATAATTGGACAATGTGGTCAAACAGGTGTGGGGAGAAGGAGAAAGTATTGTTTAGCAGAGCAACTATTTGCATGGGAAACCAGAGCATTTTGTTTCTTCTTACCAACTTGGTATATCCAATAGTTTTACTTTTGTGAATTCAATTCTCCCACAAGTGTTTCCTTGTTTTGGGTTCACTAATTGGACAGTTGACACTGTTCCTGATGCAAGTTTTTCAATAATTGGGCAATCATAAATGAATGAGATGAAGATGAAGAGATGTATGCATGTGGGAAGATATTGTAGGGAAATTAGATGCCTTCTCCATTGTGCCATCCTTGCGTGTGCATGTGCTTGTGTTAGAGGTGGGCTGCTACCGGTTTGCCCTAATTCGCCTGAATAGGTAGTAAAAATCTAGCATACCTTTCCGAACTGGAAGCAATGACAGCTGGCCACGCCCCCGAACAGGTACAGTCCCCTGGACTGTCCCTGCTCGCTCCCTCTGCATGTCCAGTCGCCGCTCTCTCACTCTCTCGTCCTGCCCGTCCGCACCATGCTTGCCCTACCTACCTACCCAGCTGCCGCTCACTGACTCGCTGGCTCACCGATTGTCCCACTCTGAGAGCCCTATATATACCGCAGTCACCACATGGCACACTACCTTTACTGGCCTTGCACACCGAACTGCCTGGCACCACAAATCACTGCCCACAGGGACCCAAGTCTCGGGGATGTAGACCCACTGCCGCAGTGCAGGTGAGCCACTCTCTCGCAGCTGAGCTTGGCACCAGCCATCGCCCTCCCCACCGTGTTGAGCTCCGATGCTCATCCCTCACCTTCCCAGCGATGGGGCAGTCCTGACACAGTGCACACCTGGCTGGCCACTGGGCTTCTCCGCCTGTGGGGATATCAAGATCCCCAGACTGCTCAAGCTTTCCTGCCCACTGTCTTTCTGAGTGCCACCATGTGGTGCAAGCCAAGGGGAGATGCACCAGGTGCATGACACCAATGTCACTTGCACACCACGTGGCTTCCTGCTGCAGCTGGTATGACAGGTCAAGTGTTGCCTGTTGCTGCCCAGCTACCATGAGTGTCTCTGTCGGGCCAGCGCCCCCCAGCCCTGGAAGTGGTCACATGGAAGGATCTGGATTATTCTGCAGATAAGCAGCCCCCTGGCGGAGTCCCTGCACTGCCCTTCCCCGAGTGAAGTGATGCCCAAGGAAATGAGGTCCAGTTGCATCCTGCTCCCTGCCAGCTCCTGACTGGCCTTTTTGGGCACATTGGGGCAGAGGCTAGGTGTCCCCTCCCCTTGGATCTGATGGGGTGCTTTGTAGAGGACATGTGGCCATTGAGACTGTTTGGCTGCCTGGGATTCCAGACGATCTCTAGGCCAGCATCCTTGCCTCTTTCCTCCAAGAGCTGACTAGGGGCTGCTCCCTACCCTCGCTGTCCATGAAGAGCCCTCTGCCAGTCCCCCGGTCGCCTTCCGAAGAGTCTGGTTGAAGTTTCGCTCACTGAGACACCAAGACTCCTGATGCCAGGATGGGGTCCTTCGGGCACTTAGCTCCAGCCCCACTCTCCTCCTCAGTGAGTGGCATGCCCAGCAAAAGTTCAGCCAGGTTTCTCAAGAGATGGATTTTGCAGGAGGCTGATCTAGGGGCTGGCTGGTTGTAGCAGAAACATTTATTCTCAGCTTTTTGATTCCTAGCTGCAATGGGCAGCAAAGCTATGTTCGTCCCCCTGATCCAGCAGCTTGAAAAGTGGGCGGAAAAAATTGCTAAGGTATGCATGAGTCAGGGGGAGAGGAATTCAAACTTCATCCTCCTGGTGTGGCGCGAGGTTTTGGGCAAAGGCTGGAGGGATGCGTTCTGGCTTGCTCCTGCTCTTGCCCTCCCTAGTGTAATTTGATGGAGGCAGAAGCTCACATTGCCTTTTGCAAGGCCACTGTTGGTGAAACTGGGTGCTGGTGAGGGCTGGCTTTTTGTCTAGCTTTATCCAGCTATTGGGTGGGATGGACAGGGGCCTGGGGAGGAAATCATTTCCCCTCCCCCAACAGCTGGACAAAGCTATGCAAAAAGCCAGCCCTCACCGGTACCCAGCTTTACCAACAGCAGGCTTGCAAAAGGCAATGTGACTCCGCTTGTAATCAAGCTGGATTGGAGAGGGGGAGCACGAGCGAGCACTGAGGAGATCAAAGGAGGAGAGAAGCAAGGCAAAGGGGTATGCTGTAGCACACACACTTTCCCTCAGCCCCCTTCTTTTGGAAGGCTCCGATCAGCTTCCCACCAGCTTCTCCACCTCTCCTCTCACCCCAGCCTGCCAGCAGGAGGTGAGTGGGTGGGCTTTATTATATTCTAGGCATTTCCCATACAAACAGCATGCTGCATTTGTAATGGGGGAAGTGTTTGGGGAAGGCAGCGGGGGAATGGGGGGTGGCAGAGGAACTGCTTTCAAGTCATTGGTTTTTGCTGGGTGGAGAGTCTTCCCCCCGTTATGTAGGCAGAGGTACACCTCCCATTTTGGTAGCCCCTCCCCATATGGATTTTTTTTAAAGAACCTCATGGCTCGAGCCGGGCTGCCAGGCTAGAGCAAAACTTCCATGCCCTGGATGGACCTGTCCACGCCACCCATAAATGCGTATCTGCCCGCC